CCCAGATGCTCCCCACTACTCTTGGATGAGTGTTGGAGTGTGCTTTTGCAGCTCCACCACCCTTTACACAAGGAGGAGCCCGCTCTGCTCCCAAACATCATCCAGGGTTCTCCACAGCCAGCAAATGTGGGAGCTTCTGACGAGGCAAAAGTTATGCTCCTGTTTCTGGAAAGTCTCATTCTCTTAATCTGCCTCTCTGCATCCAGGGAGTCATAAAGCCCATCTGCTCATCTAATGCCAGACCTGGCTCACACCTGAAATAATTTGAGGAGTCCAAGAGCTCAAAACAAATCAAACAGCTTGGCTTCCAAACTTTAATTAGCTGTTGTCTCTAAATTGTGTAACCACTCTGCCTGCTAGGCCATAGGAAGTCAGATGATATAGGAATGCTTTTCTTGAGATATCCACATCTTCTTTGAGGAAGTCTGTAACTCCACACTTATGAAAGGATCTGCTGTGCAAAATGCATGTTCTGCATGGCAAAGCATGCCCAGGCATTGCAGAGGCAGCTGTGAAGAGAGCTGAAATCAATGCAAACTTGAGCATCCACTCTTTCCAGCCAGCAGCACCCTCCTGGGGGTGGTGGAAGCTGGATATTCTCCAGGTGGAACCGGGGATATACTTGCTGTAGACACAGGAGAAAGGGGTTTCAGTCTCTGTGACTGTGGTGAGCAGCTCCAGGATTTAATGCAAGAAATGCCAGGGTGTGCATCACTTTACCACTGACCTCAGGACTTAAACTTGTTTGGCAGAAGAAATCACCTGGCCTTGCACCACAGCCCATCTGTTCACCCTGCTCAAGTCTGTGAGCTCAAACTCTCGAGGGAAGGCTCTTCCCTTCCTTTTCACAGTGTTTTGGCCAGCCCTGCAGGTGTTCTGCTGCCCAGGCTGGTCATCCTTCCCAAGAGCATTCCGTGAATAATACAGTGTCTCCTGGGAGCTTTGCAGGGCTGGGGTGCTCTGGTGCCAGATACCACCTGCAGACCGGGCACAGCAGCTGCCTTCTGCAGCCTGGCATGTGGGAATGGCCCCCAAACCACCCACGTGACAAACAACCCCATGGCAGGTTGCTCTGGATGCTCCTGTGTTTGGCCTTCTTCCTTTTTCCCAGGACTGGAACTCTTTTTTTCTCAGGACACAGGGGACCTGAAGAAGAAACCTGTGTCAGCAGCACATCCCTGAGGATGCTGCAGGCTCAACTGTTTCTCAAGGGCTTGGGCTGCACCAGCTGTCATGATCCAGTGGCACGAAGGATGTGCTCTCTCCTCACTCCAGTTGCACAGGTATGCCATGGGATGAAAAAAATTCCATTGGCAGATGCATTGACTGCCAAAACTCCTTCAAGCACAGCAGGATAGGCAGATCCTTACAGTCCTCCTCTGCTTTCAGTAGATGGCATGCCCCAGATTCGTCTACTTTCTGAACTATTTATCTTCTGCTATTAGTAAGATTTCAGGTTCCTTCTTTCCTTGTGGTGGGGCCAGGTGTCTGCCAGGCCTGTATCCCATCTCTCACCATTGCCAGACATGAATGCTTAGGAAGAGAATGTGAAACACCACATGTTTGCCCTACAAGCAAATGAATTCCCACTAAATATTTCTTTTCCCTTGTCTTCTTCCCTTGTGGGATAAACATTTTTTACCTGTTCACTAGTCTCAAGCTTAAGTAATGTTTGATGAATATGTGTGTGCTTTAAGGTTACATCATGATGTATACATGATTACATGGGTTTTTTTGCATTTCAGACAGGTTTGGAATGAGTCCTCCAAGGTGGAAGCATGTCCCAGCCCCTACACCCACTTCATGCAGCATTATACCTTGCTGAGCCCACTCAGTTCCTCCTGTGTTACAAATATAAGCACAGGAGCTTCCTAACTGCATCTCCTGCTGCTGCCGGCTCTGCAGCTTGGAACAGGTTAGGTTCCCTCCTGAATTCTCTCGTTATTAATATCACAAACCAAGCTGTTCTGAGAGCAGTGCCCCATTAATCATTTTAGCTCTGCTGCAGGTTTCACCTCGCTTCCTCTTCCTGCGACTGCACAGTGTTCATATGATTTGACTCTGTGGGTACTGCTCGTTAAAACTGGCAGGGCTGCCAGGGCAGGGAAGGGCCCTGAGCTGGGCGAGCTGGGGACAGGCAAAGATGGGACAGGGACACGTCCACAGAACCACAACTGCTTTACAGCGTGGAAAAAATGTGCTACACCAGCTGGTGTAGCAGAGAGGAGGTAGCAGGGGACTTGAAGGGAGGAGAGTTACACCCCTTAAATCTTCGCCTCTAAACTTGAATTTCTGGAGCGCTGGCAACACTGGAGAGCAAAAATGAAGATATCTAATAAAACACAAAGTCAGCTCAGCAGCCCATGTGAGTCAGCACTGATGTGGGTGGCAGGTCTGGTTGGAGATATTCGATGCCCACCTGGGCTCTGTTTGTGGTTGAGGGCACCACTTCCTTTTGCTCTCTTCCTTCCTATGTTTAATCCTGATCTGTGTTACAAGCAGAGGTCTAAATCACTCTGAGCAATTACCTCTGGGTTACCTAACAGAGGGACAAAACATGCTTACAGAGCATCTTCCTGAAAATCTGCCTCCAATCCCATCCCGCTGCCTGAATCCCTCGAGGGGACTGTGTGTGTTCCTGAGTGCTGGCTCTCACACACACTAACCCAGCATCCCTGCAGCCAACCCAAACCTGCCCTCTGACATCCAATGCCCTTTTCCACTTTCTATCCTTTCCCATCATCTTTGCCTTCATCAGAGATGGGCTTTTTGTTTTGCCTTTATCCCTTTGCATTTTACAAAAGCCCAAGCCCTTCCCCGGGTGCTCAGCTGCATCCAGCCACATCCAGCAGCATCCAGCAGCATCCATGGGCACCCAGCGGCCAAACCAGCCCCGTAATACCAATGCCATCATATAGGATCAAGCTCCACCTGGCTCATCCCAAAGCCTCCCAAAGCTGCACACCTCTGTACCTGCCCCTTTGCCTGTGCACTGCAGCTTTCATCCCTGAGCAGATGTTTCTCCAGCGATTTCTGCTGAGTCAGAGAATGCCTCCACCAGGGCTGCTGCTTCTCCACGTGGGAACGCGCTTCTGGGGGAATAATTACAGAGAGTTTAAATATGGACGTTTGGCAGCCAAAATTGCTTCACATTCAGGCTCCTGGCCAGGAGGGCAGAGCCCAGAAGCTGCTCATTGGTGCTGTGAGAAAATACCTCGTACCTGTGCCCATCGTGGGCGTGCATCCCCCGTGGGCCGGGATCATCCATACCCGGCAGCGTCCCAGCACCTGGATCCGAAGGAAGGGTGGTCACAGCTTGGTGGGTCCAAAAAAGTGACCTGCTTCCCAAACGAGCCAGCTTGCACTTACCCAGCATACCTGTGCCTGCCATCTTCTCCAGGCCATGCCCACCAAAGGATTTTTATCTCCCCCACTGCTGGATTTGGGAATGTGCCACGTGCAGAAAGCTGATCCCTGCGAACCTCTGGTTCTGCAAGGGAGATGCTGGAAGCACGCTGTTGGTAACTTTTCCCCCCCTTAATATTTAAGGCATATTTTAAAGTTGTGAAACATACTGACTGTGAAATAGAGATAAGAACGAGAGTAGACACAAACAGCGTAGGCGTTACTCCTGGTTTTTTGCAACTCCCACTCTGTTATAAAAAATAGTACAGAAAGCAGCATCCTGCTCCATGCCATCCATGCAACAATGGGATCGTGTGCCTGGACACTGGTGACTGAACCAGGAGCAGAGCTGGGCCGTAAGGCACGTGCAAAGGTGCTGAACACTTCATGTGCCTTAAAATCAGCGGAGAAAAATCTTACTGAAAGATCGAATTAAGGAATTTTAAATGTTATTGAAGTATGTAAAAAGTAGTAATATAATTCTGAAGTGCTGCAAAAATACGTTTTGTTGAGCTAGAGTGCTTTCCATGGGGAGAAGGGGCAGTGGAAAGTTGCAGTGGGATGTCACTGCATCCACTCGAGTTTCTGTTCACGCTGCCCATGACGCACCCTGTCTTTACACCACACCTGCACCATAATTCCTATGTGTCCTCAGTTCTTTTGCAACTCTAAACCCAAGCAAAATGCACTTAATTAGGCACAGACCAGTTGCAGAAATCAGATAAAGCTCCCTGGCAGGAGGCCGCTTCCAGGAGATGCATCTCCTGACAGATGGGGACGTTGTGCAACGCGGGGAGAGCATCACCAGCCGTGGGCTGGCAGCGGGCAGAGCACTTGGGTGAGACACCAGGGTGTCACCTCAGAGGAGAAAGTCACAGACGGCAGCGGTGGTGGCTTTCTGAGCCGGGGGACAGGTGACAGAACCCCCCCAGCAGGACCAGGTGAGTACCCACCAATGCTTCTCCCAAGGGCCCTGGGAGCGGGGCAGCGTTGCAGCAGGGATTTGCAGGAGCAAGTCACCACCCTGTACTGAAACCTGCCTCAAATGGCCCCCACTCTGCGCCATTTCTTGCTTTTTTTTTCTCCAAAACAGAGAGGGATATTCCTAATCAGCCTCTCAACTGATTGCTATGGCAGGGAGAGCATTAAGGACTGAGGGTTTTCTCACTTTTCTAGCCCAAGAGGTATTTTGGGCAGGGATTAATGCTTTCATGGCAATTAGCATGAATAACATCTCTGCAAAAATTTTAGAGAGGTTTTCAAGATGCTGAAGTGGCTCTTTAGACCCAATTTGGGGGAGACAGGGGATAAGGCAGCAGCACCTCCCCATAAATAATTGCATTTATTTACAACAGTCATTAATCATATCTCCTGACTAACCCTGTGCTGCAGTTTAATGGGACACAGGGCTGAAAACAAAAAGTGGGTTAAATCAGAGGAGAAAAGGACAGAGGAATGGACTTCAGGTTTGGACACAAAGTTAAAAAAGGGGGTGAAATGGGTGTTTTCCGCCAGCTGAGGGTTTTTTCATGCTGTATCAGGAATTTGGGACCCCTTAAGTGCCTGGTGTTGACCAGCTCCCAGCAGCCACCGGCATGGACAGCGACGACACCAACACCGTCACCGCCGAGGTCTGCAGGGAGGACGACGTTGGGGATGGAGAGTGAGTACCTGGTGGTGGTGGTGGGGAGCCAGGTGATTGTGTGCCCACCTCCCCACCTCTCCCACAGGCTCCTGGAGGTGATGGTGGCTGGTTACCCAGTGCTGCTGGTGAGGAACAGGAAGGAGTTCAGCGCCCTGGGCAGCAAATGTCCCCACTATGGTGCCCCGCTCAGCAAAGGTAACCCCAGCTCGGGGCAGGGGGAGAAGCCACGTTGAGGAGGTTGGTTCTCACTGCCCAGCTGTGGGGGGTTTCTGTTGCAGGGGTCTTGAGAGGAGAGAGGCTGCGCTGCCCCTGGCACGGCGCCTGCTTTAACATCAGAACTGGAGACATCGAGGAATACCCTTCTCTGGACTGTATCTCCTGCTTTAAGGTGACCTCTCGGCTTTTTCTCCTCCCATCTCGGGCTGTGTTCTCTGCACCTCTCACATTCATTCCCTCTCACAAGCTCTGTATTCCTGACACCAACTGAAAGCCCCCTGCCCTGGCCACCCCTCCGTGGTCCAGGTCATACAGAGCTACAACACATGGGATGATTTCTTGGGATCTTGTAACTCCCTGCCCTAAAGCTCCTTTGAATCAAAGGTGATGCCATATATCCTGGTGTCCCTCACAGCCAGCACAGCTCTTGTGGGAAATAAAAATGATTTACACCTCTTCCTGAGTGCTCTTGGAATGAGGAGGAAAGCTCATGAGCTCCTCAGCATCATTTGACATCCAAGATCAGAGTTAGGTGAGCTCCTACCACAACCCCATGGATGCAGCACTTAAATGCCCTCTCCTTGCCCCCTTCAGGTAACAGTGGAAGATGGAAAGGTGTTTGTTACAGCAAAAAAGAAGGTACTGACCTTACCTGCTGCCACTGAGCACGAGCAGCACCTTGGGCTGGGCATGACTTCAGCATTTCTCATTTTTTTCTAGGACCTTGAAAACAGCCTGAGGGTGAAGGACAGAAGCAGGCGGTGCCTTGTCAACCAGAACACGATGCTGCTGCTGGGGGGAGGTCAGTGAAGGGGTCTGTGCTGTGCCCTCTCCACACACGCTGTGAGCTGCCACTCTCTTCTCCAGGGAGGGCTTACCTGCTCCTCTTACTCCACAGTGGTGTGTAAGAGGGCTGAGATGAGCATCTCCTCTAGGTGTGGCTGCCCTGGTGTGTGCAGAGACGCTTCGCCAGGAGGGTTTTACTGGCAGGATCATCATGGCCACTAAAGAGAAACATGTTCCATACGACAAGTCCAAACTGAGCAAGGTTTGTGTGTGACAAGGGCAAGGACTGTGCCTGGGCACCACGTGGGACATGGCCCACGCTGAGGGCCAGGCTGAGCAATTGAGTGAGCTGTGCTGGCAAAGCAGGAGTGCTGAGGTACTCACAGGGAACAGGGGTAAAAATTCCAGAAAACATCTCACTTCTCCCTCCCAGGAAGTCTTTGATCAAAGTCCACCACAAGTTGACGGTTTTCTCTCCTTTTACTGAGTTCTTCCCGCTAGAGTTTGAGTTGATGGTTTTTCTGAGGGAGAACAAGAGGCTGGGGATGGGGCAGTGTGGGGAGCTGTGATTGATTAATGGGAAATTTACCTCTTATGTAAACTGGTTTACCAGTAAACACTGAAGGAAAATTGCTGTTTGTAAGAAATGCTTTATTTCACATTTCTGTTGTGTTTTCAGGAAATGGACTTGAAAGCTGAGGAAATCTACCTGAGGAAACCTGAATTCCTTGATGCTCAGGGCATAGAGTTCTGGACAGATAAAGAGGTACCAGAGCAGCTGAGCTTAGTCTTCAATCATTGATCCTGTTCCTGCCATGGTGAGGGGAAAAAATTCCTTACTATAAGGGTGGTGAGGCCCTGGCACAGATTTCCCAGAGAAGCTGTGGCTGCCCCTGTATCCCTGGAAGTGTTCAAGGCCAGGTTGGACAGGGCTTGGAGCAACCTGGTCTAGTGGAAGGTGTCCCTACCCCCAGCAGGGAGGTGGAATGAGATGGTCTTTGAGGTCCTTTCCAACCCAAACCATTCTATGATTCTATAAATTAGAGCTCTCCTAAATACATGTATTTTCTTCTGGGACAGCATCCCCAGGCCAGTGCTACACATGGTGTCCATACCTTGGATGTAACACTGGTCTGTGCAGCCCATGGATGGACCTTTAGGAAGGGGGAGAGAGGACCCCAGCATCCCTCATCTCACCTGAGTGTCCAGAAACCAGGCAAACAGCCACAGGCAAGACAGGCAGGACACCAGTGGGTCAGAGGTGCCTGCCTGATCTCTGACCCCTCTCTCCTGCAGGCAGTGTCGGTGGATTTCCAGAAGCAGCAGGTCCACTTCATGGATGGTTCCTCTCAGAAATACCATCAGCTGCTCATTGCAACAGGCAGCCAGTGAGTGCACAAAGCATTTGCCACACATAGAATTAGAGGCAGGACAGGATGGGTCAACACTGGGACGCAGAATTGGAGTTGTTTGAGGGAGGTGGTAGGAAATGAGATGAAAGGACAGGATGGGATGACACAGCCATAGGCTTGTGCTCCCTCCTCATTCTTTCTGTTTAATTTCTGATTATGGGATGCATCTGGATTTTCTCTCTTTCAGCTCCAGCTTCCTCAAAGTCCCAGGTGCAGACCTGCAGAACGTGTGCGTTCTCCAAACCCCAGAAGACTCCAGCAAGATCTTGGAGCTGGCAACTGGGAAGAATCTGGTGATCGTAGGAGCTTCATTCGTAGGTACCAGGCTGGAGTGGGTATCAAGCTATCAGTGAGCACTTCTGTTGCCTGTGCAGATGAACCAGAGGCCCTCAGGGAAGGGATGTTCATTTTCTACCCAGCTGGGATCCTCCCTGGAGCCCTGTAGCTGCTGGGGGTGTGCATTACGCAGCACCCACTCATTCTTTCCTCTGATAGCCAGAAACTTTGAGAGCTATAAACAATTCCTGCACAAGGACAGAGGGAAATGTGCTTTATAAAAGGTCACTGTCCTTCAGAGGAGCTGGATTCCCCAGAAGCATTGGGAAAGCGAGGAGGCAAGGCACAGAAAGGGGGCTATTTTTTTCAAAACCAGGAGCTGCTCTTTGCATTTCCTAATATCCAGGTCTGTAGTGCACAAGAACAAAGACAGTGGGGAGCTAAATGCCTCAGCCCAGAAATGCATAGCAAAGCAGTTAAGCACTGGCAACACATCAGATTTGCTCTCCTGGAAGGGGAAAAGATTTCCAAGCAGGAGGATACAGGTTGATGCTTGCAGCAGGCTTACCTTGGGCATGCCTTTCCCTTGCAGGAATGGAGGTGGCTGCCTTCCTCTCAGACAAGGCTGGTACCATCTCAGTGGTGGAAAGAGAGGAGTTCCCTTTCCAGCACGCTCTGGGTCCTCAGGTTGGAGGCGTCGCCATGAAGGTTAGGAAAACCTGGCACTAAATTCTAGGAGGGAGAACACACATTATCCAGGCAGCCCAGTGATCCACGACAGCCCAGGAAACCTCGCCCCTGTGCTGAGTCATAACTCTGTGTGCCCAGCACCAGCCTCACACATGGCTGGTCCCAACCTCCCCACGCACACATCACACTCCCCAGCCCTGCTTCATCCCAAACCCACCTCACACACCAGTCCTGACTGAGACTGCAGAGAAAAGCCAGGCTTCCAGGGTCCCTGCACCAGCCAGGGACACAAATGGAACCTCTCTGCAGCCTGGAGCAGCAGCTGTGCTGTCTGCCTGGGTTTTGGCTGGGCAGAGCTGTTTTTATAGCAGTACAGCCTGGAATTTCCTAATGAATACTGAAACCAGTCCTTTTCAGATGCTGCAAAATAAAGGGGTGAAGTTCCACATGAAATCAGAACTCTGTGAGCTGAAAGGAAAGTATGGAAAGGTCAGTCATGCCTCTGTGATCCCTGAACTGCTAATTTTAGGGGAAAAAAATCCCAAACTGAGGTATAACCCAGTGTCTACATCTCGACTGTCCTCTCGCATGTCTAGACCCTCCCTTTCTTTTCACTGAGTACAGCTCTGGGCTCAAAGGGCACCGGTAAGTGTTCCTCTCTCAGGGACAGCAGTGTGATTTTCTTTTACATTCCCAGCAACGCACATTAGCTGGACAAGGTGATCCGAACCTGGGGAAGAAAAAAGACAGCAAAGAATGAAGCAGCAGGGAGGCTGCTGGAATTAGGACAGTGTTTTTAACCCTTTATTAATGATTCTTTCTTCTCTCCTAGGTCACAGAGGCTGTTCTTGGCAACGGAGAGAAATTACCTGCAGATGTGGTAGTGGTGGGAATAGGTAAGAGACCCCAGTTGGGAGAGTGAGGCTCTTTGGGAATGGGGAGAACAGTCAGCAAGCCCAGAACACCACAGTTCATTCCCAGGACACCATTCCCTGCAGTCTCTTTCCAGTTCTGTTATCATCCAGCCCTTCCTCCTGGCCCCAAACACCTGCAGAAAGTCAGCAGTTCATGAACAAGCACTTGGCCTTGGAGGAAGGGAGCCAATTACACTCTCAGAGTGCCTTTGGCTCACTTGCTGAGCTCCATAGGTCACTGCTGTGTTACTGGAGCGTGCCATGTCCTGGGCCCTGATTTTACTGCCCCTGGATTAGCTCAGCACCAGCCCAAGCACAGCTTGTGCTCTGAGTGCTGAACAGAGCAAGTGCTCTGCTCTGAGCAGGCTGAGCAGGCAGCACGGGCACATGTTTGCTGTGGGACCAAATTTCCTCCCTGCCTTTTGTCCCTGCTCCTCTCCCTGCAGGGTCGACCCCCAGCTCAGCATTTCTGAAGGGCACCTCCATTGCCAGAGATGACAAAGGTGCCATCCTGGTGGATCTGGTGAGTGCCAGCCGAGTATTCCGGGTCCAACCCCATCCCTCCACTCTCATCCTTGCACTCACTGCTCTTTGTCCCCTTAGCACATGCAAACCAACATCCCAAATGTCTTCGCTGCGGGGGACGTGGTGTCCTTTCCAGTGGCGCTTCTCAACGGGGACCGGACCAGCATCCATCACCAACAAGTGGCTGAGGCCCACGGTGAGAGCTCAGCCACCTCACTTTCCAGCTCCCCTGGAGGAGGGAATGGGGCAGAAGGGACGGGGCAGGATAACAAGAGGCAGAGAACACTTCTTTGAGCACCTTCGAGAAAAATATTTCCTCTCTTGTCTCGTCACAGGTCACGTTGCTGCCTTAAACATGCTGAAGAAAGAAAAGGAGTTGCACACCGTTCCCTTCTTCTGGACCACGTTGCTTGGGAAAAGCATCCGCTATGCAGGTAGGAGGGGGCAGAGAGATGGGAACAGCAGAACTTCTTCCCTGCCCATTGCTCACCCACCAGCTGGGTCTGGGCTTGTAAACACAGTGGTTGCAGAGCTCACCTGAAGCATCTCAAGTTTTGGACTGGCTGCCACGGCGAGCTCAAGCTCTGGGCCTGAATGTTACCCAGAGCTCTTGTTCTTCACTGATCTCAAGTGGTTTAGAGGTTACAAAGGAGGAAGGACCTCCCTCTCTGAGCCAAGGAAAGGCTCAGGGTCATGATGCAATTGTGCAGCTCTGCATCAGTTCTGCTTGCCCAGGGCCTTCATGCCTGCTCCCCAGCTCTGCCCCAGCCAGTCACTGTGCCCTCTGTCCCTACCTGTGATGGCTCTGAGGTGGATGGGTGGCAGCTGCTGTGCCAGGTCTCCCTGAGCAGGCTGTGACATTCTCTCTCCCAGGCTGTGGAAAGGGATACACGGACACTGTTGTGAAGGGCAGCCTGGAGCAACAGAAGTTCCTGATCTTTTACCTCAAGTGAGTGAATCCATGACCAGTCCATGCCCTGACACAGCACTGCTGCGGGAACAGGGCAAGGTTCTCTCCCTTACAGCCTGCAGAGATTCCGCAGAGGCTCCACATCACCTCCTGTGGCTGCTGGGCGCTGAACCAGCAGCGAGATGGTTCCAGAGAAAACCAAAGCAGGGCAGGGAAGGAGAAGAGGATGAGCTTCAATGAAGACACCAGCTGGGCAGGGAGCCTGGGACACGTCTCCTCTCCCTCTGCCCCGCTGCTCCCAGGCTCGGTGCCCAGCTCCCAGCAGTGCCAGGCGATCTGCCACAAGTCCCTGTGCATCCTGCAGCCCCAGCCACTCTGCCCTGAGCCCTCTGAAATACAGCTGGTCTCCAGTCAGGGTGCCACGAGGACGCTGCTGTGCTGAGCTATGTACACTGAGGAGATCCACATTCTTCCTCTTTCCCTCTCAGGGATGGCCATGTGACAGCAGCTGCCAGCCTGAACTGCGACCCCATGGTGTCTCTCATTGCAGAAGTTTTATACTTGGGGAAACTAATCTCCAAAGAAGAAGCAGAGTAAGTGACAGCCTGGCCGAGCTGGTGGGTGGCTCTGTGCTGTTCCCCATGCTGGCAGAGCCCACTGAGAGACACAAAGCCCGGATGAGTTTTGGCAAATCCTCGACCTTCCTCTTGTTTGCAGGGCCTGTGACATCGGCAACATATCCTCGCTGGCACAAACCTGAGCTTGGTACCTGCCCCTGTGAGGGGCACATACCCAAGGGTTAACAGCTCCACATCCTCCTGTCCTGGAGAAATAAAACCATCAGCAAAGCCAAAATCAGCACCTGCATTTTGCGTTTGCAGACTCGCTCCTCACTCGTGTGCTGGGGCAAAGCACAGCAGAGCTTTCCCTCTTCTTCTAGTGATCTGCTGGGCTGGAAAAGAGGAGGTTGCCTGTGGCCTGAGGCTTAGCTGGGAGTCTGTGCAGGCAGCAGCCACCACACATCCACAGATCCACCCGCCACAGATAAAACCAGCTCCTCCTGTTCCTTCCCTGTTGGCAGGGAGCTTTCATCCAGCACACCGGTCACGCTGACCTTCTCCTTTGCAAAAGCACATTTCCCCAGCAAGGGGAGCTGTGAGCGAGACAAGCTGCTCTCCCGGCTGGGAACAGGGTGGTCTGTGCGCAGGAACTCGCACGGAATACCCTGCCCCTAAGAACAGAAATGCCACCCGACCTCTGAGGCAGCAGCACCTGCTGGCACTGTCACTGCCGTCTTGAATATTGCATTAGCTGCCGCAGCGAGCGCTTCCCACCCCTGACAGCAGCCAGCCTCCGGCAGAGAAATCCCAGCTCCAGTCAGCATCCCCTCTCCTGCCACGTCCCTGCGTGCTGGATGCTTCGGGGAGGTGGACAGATGCTGGAGGAAAGAGTCATCGAGTTTTTTTGCAAGGCAACAGCGCGCGAGGCTGTGCTTTCTACAGGAAACCCTGCACTTACTCAGCAGTCACATGGGGCTTTGCAAGAGGAAGGGTAAGTCCCAGGAGCTGGGCAAGTTCCCACAGGGACACTCATTGTCAGCCTAAAACCCCTCTGGTTTTACATGAGCTGCAGGATAGCCAGAGCCTGAGCCCTCTGCTCAGCAGGTGAGATACTGCAGAACTGGTTTTGTGTTAAATACACAAACTTGCCCTCTGGCACCTTCTCGCATATGAATTTGACCTGAAATATGACGTTTTGCATTTCCTGACCCCGGGGGCCCGGTGCTTCTGCTCAGGGCAACTCTCTGCCCTGAAATAGCCACATCTTACCATGGGGTTTCAGCAATGCAGGTTATTCCTTCACGACAAATTTATGCATTCCCTGTATCCCGAGGCACACAAGGGCAGAGGTGCTGGTGGCCAGAGCACCAGCTCCCATCCCTATCAAGCTGTGCTGCATGAGAAGGGGAGTAAGCCCAGGAAGCTGCTCCTCCCTGCCCTTGGGCACCCTGCACACACACACACACACACCCACGACTTTCTGCCCCCTCAGTGCACTCCAGGAGGTGTTGGCCACTGAGCAGGTGCCAGTTGTTTTGTATGGACTTGCAGCAGGGCAGCCATGGTGGAAGAGACAGGCTCTGCCTCAAGCTGGAGGAACTAATCCCAGGGGGGTTCAGCAGCCCCACTCCCTCTGGATGACAACCACCCCAAAGAAATTCAGCTTCTCGTAGCCATCAGGAAGCACAAGCCAAGAAGAGCAGCTTTGTGTAAGAAGGAAAGACCCCAGGACAACAGATTTGCTCCACTTCTACCACTTAATGGACACCAGGCTGCCTTCTGTGCTTTGCTGGGTGCCAAAATTGGGAACAGCCCTGCCTTGGGCGGCTGGAGCCCAGGCAGGCAGAGTTAGTTGAGATTGTGCAGACATTTCAGCACAGGCCGTTCCTCCCTGCCCGCCCTCAGAGATGGGATGAGCTGTTCTCTTCCTGGCAGGCCCTGAGCAGCAGTGCCTGGACACTCCCCTGATTCCCAGCCACCAAGGCAGCCTGGGGGGTGGTGGTCCTGGCAGACCCGTGGGAAAGGCACCTCCTGGAGTGCAGAAGCTCCCTGGAGCCCCTGCTGTGGCCACACAGAGCTTCTCTCTCACTCAGTGCAAGGCAAGGAGGGGTCGCCATCCCTGGAGAGCAGCTTCCAGGTTCCTTTCAGAGCAGTCTTCTGCTTCTATCCATCAACAAGGCAGAGCTTGGACCATGGAGGAGCCTCGCAAGATTCACCTGGGCCCCTCTCAGTGCTGCTGGCTCCAAAATACCTGGAATCCTGGTGCTGCCCCAGGGCCAGCCACAGTCAGGGCTGCTCAGCCTCACAGGACAGAGAGTGGTTCCGGGAACAGACGTCCAGAGGCTCCAGAGCCGCGCGTGACTCGGACCTGAGTCACCCTCTCCCAGTGGCCCAGCCCCACCACAGCCGGCCCTGACCCGCACCAGGGCAGCGTGGGTGTGGAGCCAGCCCTCTCCCCAGGCTCCATCCCACTGCCTGGCATGTTGCAGGATTAATCCAGCTCCTGAGCTCAACAGCAGGTCAGACCTGTGGGCTACGCCCAGCCTTGGCTCACCTCTGGCTCGGGGCAAACCCAGGGGACCTGAACAACCAACCCTCCACCTGCAGACCCCAACGGGGCATCAGGGATTGAGCTCTGGTGCTGTGGCCCCCCCAGCATCCCAAAGGGTTTACAACCCCCACCATCTACCCACCAGGCAAGTCCGGGCACCCCATGGGCAACAAACTTCCTAAAACTGAACTGTTGAGCAAAACAGAAAGTTTAATGCCTCTTTTGGTCTCCTCTCAGCTCAGTGACACCCCACTGCAGCGGGACCCCGCTGACAGGGCTGCCTGGCAATCCCCCAGCCAAGGCTCTGTCTGGAGGCTGTGGAGAGACTTCTTCATCCCGGCTGGACTCATCCTCAGCCCTCAAATCCACAGGACGCTTCAGACTGGCTGATCCTGGTCACTCAGGGCACGGGTCTGGCTGGCATCCAAGGTCCCAGTGACAAGAAGAGAGTGGCTACATTCAACAGTTCTTCAACTGGCAGCTTTAGCTACTGGAGAAGGACATAAAGCTTGCCACTGAAGAACTGGTGCTGGTTAGCCAGGAGCAAGGGGGCATGGAAGCACCTGGAAAGGAAATACATGGATCAGAGCCAGGATCAAACCACGCCAGCCATCACCCACAGCACTAGGGCTGCTCCTCTCCCCCACTCCAACACCAGGTCCTGATCTACCACCTTGTCTTCCCCCCAAGGAAGCTCCTCGGGGCTGAAATCCCCCTCATCGTGTGGAATCCAGAGGCAGCTCTGACCTCAGCCCTTCCCTCTCCCAAAGCAGGTGGTGCGTGAGCTCCAGCACCTGCAGCCGGCCCTAAACCACGAGCGACGGGAAACCCAAGGCCGTTTTTGCTGGAAAAATAGGAGATAAGAAAGCCTGCTCCAGGCAGGGCAGGGAGGCCACTGCAGGTAGGGGTTATGGCATTCCCTGTCGGCTCACCTCGGGCATCCATCGGCGCTGGCAGGGTCCCACCTGGCCAGGGGCCAGGAGCCTCCTGACGGGGAAGACACTTTGTCAGGCGGCTGCTGCCAAGCCACCGGTGGGGGAATTCTGGGGAGTGCAGCTTTTTTTTCCCCCCGCCCTCCCACCCCGAGTCATTTTGTTGGAGGGCAAGGACGCCGACCCCCAGGGCTGGTATGAGACCCCGCTGCTTCCCCTTCAGCCCGGGAAAAGTCCCCTTTCCACACCAACCCAGCGTTTTAGCTACTGGGGGTTGAGTTTTGGGAAAACCCCCAGGCAACCGGGCCTAGCAGGGTGGACAGAGGGACCCGGTGGGGGGACAGACAACACCGGGGAACTCCCTGGGGGCCAGCACAACATCCTCCCGCCGGCATCACCCCAAAGGTACGGGGGACCCCGGCTGGCCCCGGGCCTCAGCGGGCGGCGGGTGCGGCCGGACCCCGGTTCGGGGCTGCGAGGAGGCTCCCGGTGCGGGGCCGGTGGCCGGGGCGCAGCGGCGGCGGCGGGGCCCGGCGGGGATGCCGAGCATTCCTGGCGTGCCGGGTACATCTGGTCCGGATTCCAGTGAGCTGGTCCCGGCCCTGCTCCACCCCCGCCGGCCCGTGAATCAGCACCCGCCGCTGAGCCACCGGCCCCGCCGGCACCGGGGGCTGATGAGGGGGGGGCTGACGGTAACACGGCTCCCACCCACCCCTCCTCGGCACCGACAGACCCCATCGGCTCTGGGAGGGGCCCCGCTGGGAGCTCGCCCCGCTAATAAAACCCGCTGTGCCCACAGCCGGTGCCCCCCTGCCGGTATAACCGGGTCACCCCCCTCCACCAGAGCCTCTCCTCCCGGTAAAACCAACACCCCCGATCCCCCTCTAACCGAGACCGCTCCCCGCCGCCGCCACTCCACGGCCAAGCCGCTCCCTCCGCTCCCCCCGGGACTCTCCGCCGCCCCTCCCGCCCCTCCGCCGCCCGGGATGCTCCGGCCCGTGCCCGCGGCGGGAGCGGCCTCAGGTCAAAGTCTGCCCAGCCCGGTCCCGGAGTGAAGGTCACCCCCGGGGCGGCCACCGCCCGTCGCGGGAAGCCCCGGCCGCGGCTCCGCCCGCCCCACCGGGACACCCCCCGGCGCGGGGGCCGCGCACCGGCCCCGGCCCCAAACCCCCCCGTACCGCGCCCCGACACCAACGGGGGCGAGGCCGCCCGGCCCGGGCGGCGCCGCGAGGCCAGGGGAGGGACGGGACGCGCCGCGCCGAGCCCCCACCGCCGCCCTGCTCCGGGGGGAAGGTCACCTTCCCTTCCCGTCCCTTCCCGTCCCCGGTGGGGCGCAGCCCCTCGACCCCCGGCGCACCGGCGGGGGGCTCGGCCGCTCTTACCGCGCGCCCCAGCGCGGTGCTGGCGGACCTACCCGCGGGTCTGGTCCCACCGGTGCCGCCCGGACCGTGGCGGGTCCCTGTTCCCGGTGCCGGTGCCGCCGCCTCCCCCGCCGCGCCGGCTCCGTCCCGGATCAGCTGGCAGAGTCATGACGCAGCCGCCCCCGGCCCCGCCCCTCGGCCCCCGGCCCCGCCCCCAGGCCAATCGCCGGCCGGCACCGCCGCCGCGAGCCGCGCCCGCCCCCGCGCCGCGATTGACGCTCGCTCCCGCCAATGGAGGCCCGGCGCTACCCGGCGCTCGGCCAATGGGGAGCGGAAGCCATCCCTCCGCCCTGCCCACCGCGCTGGGGAAGAGTCTGGCTCCCGCCTCGCGGGCCGGTGGTTGCCTTGGAAACGGGCGGGCCGCCGAGGGGCATGCCGGGAGTT